CAGCCAGTGAAAATATAAATGACTGTACTTCGTAGAAATACAATTTGGGTGCCCGTGAAAACACTGATTTGTTCAGAGAATATCCTTCCTAGGTAAAATTTTTACAACAACTGTGATCAGACACAATAGCAAGGCCTGAGACAGGCACACTTTCCGCTTGTTCCTTCTCTCGGTTTTCCGCGCACCGTTAACGCTCGTTAACGCAGCTTGTAAAAAATACTGGAAACTGGCTTGATACGGTCCGATACGGTCCTCCCAGGCTTTCCACACAAGATCGTCGCGTGAACCACTTCGCGGTTACATGTGACAGTTTCACAACAAACCTTTGCTGCCAGGCTCGTCGAGGAGCACTTTTGTGCAATGTGGTTGCCAGTATTTGTCCGCTCTACTTGGAGTATTGCTACACAGGTGGTTCAGCTAACAGTGAAGCTCATAAAAGCAGCCTAAGTACCAAGCTCCCCTTCCCAACTCCAAGATTATTATCAGTGACATTTATAGTATTAGCCGTGGCTGCATCGCTCTTAGGCACCTACCCCTTGCTGACTGTTGAATTCTTGCTTTTCGGCGGCCGTGCTTGTAGTTGTTTCCGCTCAATGAAAACTGCCGAGCAGCCGGTGAGTAAGGACAACACTTTCTTGGAACCATACATGGCAACATTTGCGGTCCTTCGCCTTGGACTCTCCTCTCATGCCCCGTTCTCTGAGCCTTTGGCTACTATGGGCTTTGTCCCTCATAGTCTCCGTTATGGCAGCCCGAAAGACCAACTTACCTCGACCAGCAGACCCATTCGCAGATCCTCGTCATGACCCATATAATCCCTTGAAATATATCGCTTCTAACACTCTCACTGCTATCGCTTTCAGTCAGTGGCTTAGACATCTTCACTTGACGCTCCTAATCACAACTCGGATTTAGGTCTTGTCCTTTTCGTTGCAATCGTGCAATCTTGGTACACATGGAAGTATGGAGCCAAGTTTATGTTGTCTATGACAATAGGCGCATACAGTACGACCACTGTCCTTTTCTATTCCCCGTCGGACGTTCATTTTTTTAATTTTTATTTACTTACAGCTTTCGCCTTTGGGATATCGACGCGTTTCGGATTGCATTTACATCCAGAGTCAAAAGGCCTTTACATTGTGGAATACCTTTTTGTCGTTCTTTCTGTAGGTCTTATCGTCTTTCTCAGATCGAAGACAATCTGACTTCACTCCTTTCCTGTTACGCTCTGGTCACCATTGGTAGCCTTGTGCGTTTATCGCTGCAGAATATGTGCTCCTCGGTCGATTGGCGCGACACCTAAGATGCGACAAGTACTTGTTGGTTACTGCGCGCCGAATCACTGTAACGTTTATATCATCCGACATATCAACGTTTTTGATTCAGGTATGTAACTTTTATTACTACGTGAGTAATCTCATGTGCCTCTGTGCAGGCAATCGGCGGAGCCTTGTCGATTTCGGCGAATGATGAGCCTTTAGCTCTCGCTGGGTCCAGGGTTTGTCTTCATATCTAGTTTTTCATAGCCTCACTAAAACCAGGCCTTGATAGGTTTTCCTCGCCGGACTTGCACTACAACTCCTGTCATTTCTGACTTTTACTTGCATTTTCTTATTTTTCCTATACCGCGTTCGTAAATGTGAACCTGAGGTATATGTTCAAGACCAGCAACTTGTTTGGTACAAGGATTGGCGTGCACTTGCAGGAACTATGATTGTGAGTTGTATAGGTATCCTGGTACGTGAAGCCTGTAATGCTCTCTTTTGTACTACAACTAACAATGTCCTATTATATAAGATCCGTTCAGTCTACAGAACCATTGAGCTTTCTGAAGGTTTTCAAGGACGCCTCGCTACATCCGAGCCTTTCTTCTATGGCCTCGATACACTTCCACTGTTCATCGCGATCGTGGTCTACCTTCCATTCTGGCCTGGAAGGTTCATTCCACGCGCCGGAGTCCCTGTTGCGGTACGTGAGAGCGAAGAGGAGAAGAGAAGCGAGGATACGACTATGGGTGTAGTTGCCTAGCAAAATTACCCGAGCGAACTTTGTCATTTGGGGGAAAATTGTTTTCCAAGCTGCTAGACACTACTATGCTGTCGTTAGACAGCTAGCTACAATCACTTTTCAATTAATATACCGTACTCACTCTAACTTCCTCATCTCGTCTCAGAGCGTGTCCAGGAACGCTGCGAGACTTGGATGATCAGTGGTGGACGAATTTTTCGCTTTGGCTTGTGCTTCTTTGGCTCTGTTCTGGGCCAACATTGCTTGCAAGCCATTCTTTTTCTTCGGTCGTGGCTTCGATTTGGCAACTGAGGTGGCTACAGTTGGAGTGCTATCTCTGGCGACGGTAGTTACATCGTGTGGCAGAGCTCCCGACTCGATAGTAGCATTCATTATGACCTTTGAGGACGTAGCAACTGCGACAGAGGGCTGATCTAAAGATTTTACAAAGTTGCGTCTTTTTGGGAACAAGGATTCTGATCCCCGGTCTAGAGGGAATTCAGTCGTCCACCCACATTGCAAACACGAAGTTTGCCGTGTCCTTGTACTGTGTGCGTCTGTGTGATTATTTCTTGCTCGGTGCCCCTTCGAGCTCGATTTCGTTCGGACGACTCTGGTGCTGCTAACACCAGCAAACAGATAAAGTCCACATCGGGCGCAGCAAAATTCGGAGTCTGGGCCTGTAGTGTCTATACGACGTGTTCGTCGAGTATGTAGAGCAGCAAGAGTAGGGAAAATCGGCTGGAGAGTGTACGAGATAGCTTGGCGAAATTTGGAAGTACTGATGTCCTGGTCCATTGTCATTGACGTCCACAAGAACAATAGCCTAATTGAATAAATGATGCACGTGCTCTGAGCTTTGGCCTTTGTTCTTAACCAAATTCAAAGTACTATAAAAAGGCTCATCGCACTACACATGGCTCTATTATCTTTTTTGCCATATGCTTTCCACCGCCTCCCCATTACCTCACGACTTGCACGCCCCGCCATCGTCGTTTTCATTCATGAGTTCTACTTCAAATCTCTCCCTTAAATCATCGCACAGTCGAAAGAACTCGCAGTCTTTGACCTTGTCCAACACAATGGGATGGTTATCGCGACACTCTACTCAGACTTCGGTTTCTTCTCTTCGCAAAGGACGTAGAAACTCTCCGACACCTGAATCGGAAAAGAAGCCAGCTAGGAGCATTGAGCTTGTGTCTGGTGCTCGTACTGGACCTCTTGGTTCTGGCGCCACCGTTGTACGGACGCCAGAAGAAGCTTTGCATGGTTTTAGACCAGAATTATCAGCTTCTAGCTCATCCCGACCTTCTTTGCAACGTTCGGCTACCTCCTCTTCGCTTCGCAAGCCAGTGGATAGCCCACCGCTTCCATCTTTGCCCATTGACTTCAGTAATGGCTCTGAAGAAGAAGAAGAGGAAGAGGATGACAACGACCTTGTAAATGCATCCGCAGGTTTGTCCTGGCCAACACCACCTTCTCGTCCAAGTTGTCCTCTTCCTCCTAGCCAGTCTCAAACCAGTTTTCGCTCTTCTCTCAAAGTTAAATCACAATCCAGCATAGATGCTACCCGAGTGCCTTCTTTACCCGCCCACGTTGCGTCATCGCCGCCTCAGGCTCCTTTTGAGCCAGTCTTGGTTTCTTCTATCCCCAGTGGCATTGTTGATCCTTCCACAGTCCTGGTGACTGTGGAAACATGCACGGCGACGTACAAAACCACGTTCAAAACGCTAACTTCGCGTCCTTCGCACCTGGCTGACTACCTTGTTTCCCTTTTTCCGAGACCACGGCGCGTTTCCGACGCATCTTCAATCTATTCGACTGCGAGCGATGACATGTCTTCCTACCGCAAACACCTAGCCTCTGAGGGTTTGCTTGCGGTAGCACCTGTGACCCTTCATATCTTTCTCGATCGTGCTAGTGCACCGTGAGCATGCTGTCTCCCCGATTTTTTTCTCGTTTTAACAAATTGTCTCTAGATACATGCACATCTTAAACTACCTCCGTTCTCCGGTTGGATCCACAGAATCTCCAGAGACTCTCCCAAGAGCGGCACAGCTCAATCCAGGCAATTCCCAGAGTCGCCTTGAGAGTTTGTTGGAGCTCCGAGACGAGGCTTCATATCTCGATCTCGATGACCTCTACAAGCTCTGTCAGGATGAGATCCGCCAGCGACAGCCTGTTCTCCAACCCCGTTTGCCCAGATCGCACCCCACCCACTCTCGTGGCCAGAGCTCCAATTCTAATTTGAGCAGCAGTGGTACGGAAAGCCACACATCCGTGTCCAGTATGAACACGCTTCTCGATCGTTCTTCGATGCGAGGGAGAGTGCGTGAGTCGAGCACCACTTTTGTTGATCGCGAATCGACGAAAGCTTCAAACCAGTGTTCTGATCCCCAGCTAACCTGTGGATTACGCTCGCCTCCGACACCGGAGTCATGGAAAGACGGTCGTAATTCCGGATCTAGCACAAGCACGAGCACTGGTTCTGCTCGTAATTTACGACGCAATGATCTGATTGGCTCTCCCCCATCCGGTTGGATCTAATACGATTTTCATGCCTTTAATGTTGTTTGTTGTATTTTTTGTACTTCCAGCTGCGTCAGGTCCGCGTTCACGTTCACTTATAGTATATTCTCGCTCGTTAGTTTTCGACGTCTTTATCTTACGCTGCTACATAGTAATGTATTTAACTAAGTGTTCCAATTTAGTGGCTGCATAAAAATGGTCCCTACACTACAATAGTGAACAACTAGTTGTGGTATTTAACGTTGGAATTTAAGAAAGCCAGAAAATACTGATTGAAGAGACGATCACAAAAGTGAATTCAAGCCGAGAGTAGTCCCTAGGTTGACGTTAAACAAGGGACTTTGGTAACGCTATTGAGGATCTTCTGCTCATATCTGTTCATAGTAACCTCAAAGAACTGTATGAACCGACGTATATCTATTTGTTTTCTTCGTGATGAATGATCCGCCCACTAAACTGTTGGTGGGCACTTGGCACAGTTGGTAGCGCGCACGCTTCGCATACTTTCGTTTGCGTGAGGTCAGGAGTTCGACTCTCCTAGTGTCCATTAACATTTTTTGCTTCCATTGCATTTTTTTTTTTTGCCAAATAATTGAGTCGTTTCAAAGCATGTTCCATAGGTAACTCGAGCAAGAACATAAATAAGCATGTTTTGAATTTATTTCTCCAATATCGAACTCAGCAGGACATTGTACACGATGAGATTACAGGCTACGCAAAGGGTCAACAGTTTCCAGTCTGTAAGAAATTCCATGTGGTCTCCCTCCGAGGAAACTGAACCGCTTATTGTTAGTCAGGAATGATGGTGGGAAGGAAGGAGAAGCGAAAGGACAGGGACATAAGAGGTTGAACTAGAGTAAAAATACAACATTTTCCGGTAATTGCTTTAATTCTCTTTCTGTGTGGCGTAAGGGTTCACACTGTATACCTTGATAACGGGAGGGCTCTTGGTCAAGTCCGCGGTAACGATGACCTGGAGAAACGATAAATAAACACAGCGCGAACGGCAAAGACCAAATACTCACTGGAACAGTCATCAACTCGCGAATATCTTGGATCTTGTGGCCGGAAGGACCATTCCTAAGACCCTCAAAGACAGGTGCTGGTTTGGCCATAGAGAGCAGTCTCTGCTTTGAGGTCTCTGGATCGGAAGGCTTATCATTTCGGCCAAGAACGATCTCGTCCTCCTCGGCATCATCCTCATCGAAGAGGGCGCTTTCGTCCTGGACAGAGCGAGAAGTCACCTCCATCTTAAGAGCGTGTTGCTCAGCATTTTGCTTGATCTTCTTCAAGTGTTCGTCATCACTGTTCTCAGCCAACCAAGTAATCACATCCTTGTTAGACCAGTAGATCTGGAGTGTGTAGGTGTGCTCGTCATAGACATGATTCTGATAGCAATGAATCAGCTTCAAGAACAACCTCAGTATGTTTTACTCACGTCAATAGGCATTTGGTCAACGTGGACACGTTTCTCAATCCCAAACTCAGGGACAAGGACATCAAAGGCCGCGTCTAACACGTTGATCACCTTAGCCTGACGGATGACAGGACCATATCGTTGAGTGAGGTCGGAGATGAGCACACAAAGATACAAGTGCGTGGACTGCTCTTGAGCCAAAGTGGCAGAGTCCCGTTTACTAGAAGGAAGATCAGCGATATGTGCATTGAAACCAAGAAGAAAACTTACATATTACACTGCTGAGCTACCTTGGCCACAGCATCGCGGTCCATAGTAAATTTGGGCTCAGCTGCAAGATGGAGATTAGCATGTCATGTAAAGAAAGAGGATGCTAAAGTGACAAACCTCCTGCTTGGCCTGCTCCTTGAAGGACGGATTCAAGCTGGCGATGAACGAGTAGGTCGGCGTAGCGACGGATAGGCGAAGTGAAGTGAGTATACAAGGGAACGTTCAAAGCATAGTGATGATACTTTGCAATATCCAGCATTCCACCACAAAAGTATTTGGCACGCTGAGTAGCCTTGAAAGAGAGCAATTCCAACAACCTCCGAGCAGTAGGGTCGTGGATATTTTCAAAAGAGCGCATTAAAGCGCCAGGAGAGGAGGTATCCATGTTGTAGCCAAGGCGTTCCGCACGTTCCAAGAAGGTGTTCTGTAATCGGATGAGGCAATGGACAATGGAATATCTGACACAACTACTTACAATACGACGCTCGAGCGGGTTGTCATGTCTACGAAGGAGGGCTTGCTCGGGAAGATGTACAGCGACATGTTGCGCAACAGACAGGTTGGTGAGTAACATGAACTATAGACGCAAGGAAAAAATCAGTGAATATGAAGCGCAAACAAAAACAAAAAAAAGTCCAACCTCCTGAATCAAATCGTTAGCGTCAGTACGTTCATGCTGCCAGCAGTCAACTGGAATTCCATTGTAATCCAACTTGAACTGCAATTGGAGAGATTCAAGGCTGAGAGTTCCGTTGTCGAACCGCTCTTGGCGCAGCTTCTTCGAAAGACCATGAAGAATCTTGATATCATGCTCGATATCACCTGCACCATGAGCAGGGATTACAGGGACCTCGCCTAAGCTCTTGCCTTCAATGACGTCCTGCGCATCATCGTACGAAAGTTGAGCGGCTGATCTATAAGGAAATCAGTGTCTAAAGATGTTCGCAGAACAGAAGGTCTTACCTGATCACCGTTTTGCCAAACCATTTTTTGATGATCTTGGCCTCCTTACTGAGGGAGAAGATGACAGAAAAAGCCAGGCGATCTTGGCCGGGCACAAGACTGCATAGCTGTTCGCTAAGTGCAGGAGGAAGCATAGGAACCGAACGCTGGACGAGATAAACACTAGTGGCACGTTTACGGGCATCGCGATCGAGAGCGGTGTTCGGTTTGACAAAGTGGGAGACGTCGGCAATGTGAACACCAACTTCGTAAGTTCCATCCTCGTTCAATTTGATAGACAATGCATCATCTAGGTCCTTGGCCGTAGCAGGATCGATGGTGAAGACTCGCTCTTCACGGAGGTCCTTTCTGATCTCCACTTCGCGGTCGGGGATACTAGAGTCATTTGTTAGCCGGGAGTACGATTAAAGTAGACATATACTGACGACCACGGAATGGGAGGTAGGCATTTTATAACGTTGTCAGTGAACTCCTCGGTAGGGAAGTTACAATCCTTGAGAAGAGCGCTGGTTTCGACCTCGATATCACCAATAGGACCGAGCTCCTCAACCAAAGTACCGAAAGGATGAAGTGAAGAGATGGGCTGGAGTAGATACGTTAGATAACTTGGGATTCAAGGACGCTCATTACTTACGTGACGTTTAATGCAAGCCACGAATAGCTTGTTTACATATGCCTCAGAGTTTTGCACGAAGTCGACAGGTGCTTGCTCAGTAGGAATTGCAATAAGAGGAACTCGCTTGTCGGTAGGCTTGAACCAAACGATCTTGGGACGTTCAATGGGTGCACGTCTGGGCTCATCACCTCTGTCTCCTTCACGTTCGCGACGTTCAGCTTCTTGCTTTTCCTTGGTTGCAGCCGAAGAAGGACGTAAGAGACCGAGAGTGCCAGAGAAGAGTTGCCCGGGCATGCGCTCAACGACTGCAACGACATGCCCTGCAAACTGAGGCTTAACATCATCAGTAACCCTAAGAAAAGGATGAGTCTCGCGGTACGTGTAATATCTGGACAAACGTACTCTTCATCCTCGAACAGCATGAGACCCTGCCCTTCGACCTCGACGTCGTCCTTCTTCTTATCGTCCTTCCGACCAGCGGTAGACTTGAGGTCGTAGGCAGCATTTTCTTCCTTTTTCCTCTTCTTCTCCTCTTTTTCTTTCTTCGTACCCCATACTTCGTCGACATCGAGAAGTTCAACAGCCACGATATCGCCCTCCAAAGCACGGTTACGATCCTTGGAACCACAAATATAGATATCCGCATCCAGTACTTCAGTTGCAACGTAAGCATCTGACCTATTTCGTTTATTGACACGCAAGATACCGACTACGAGTTTGCCGGCGGCGAGAAGAGGAGGGAGCGACGCCTGAGGAAGGTAGGGAGCAAATAGAGATTTGCGCTGTGGTTGGTTGGATTGCTGTTGTAGCTGAGACTGGAATTGTTGTTGTTGCTGTTGCAGGAGGTTGATACCCCCAAGACCCATGCCCATCATGTTCGCGGCCATCATGTTAGGCAACATGTTGGGGAAGCTAAACGAAGCCATCTTGTGGTGGTGTCCTCCAGCTGCAGCACGGAATTGCTGCAGACTTTGGAGTTGCGCTTGAGCTTGTGCAAGGTCTGAAGTGAACGCATTATTTTGAATACCACCGACACCACCATCTGCAGATATCATTAAAGCAGGAGTATCGTCAAGAAAGAAACGACATACTGATACGCCAACTATTGTCAGCACGGGAGACCTGTCGGGAATGACCATTGAAGTTGGAAGGAGGTTGGAATCCATCATCGAAGCCTTCGGGAAAGCCGCTGATAGAACTGCTAGGGCCTTTGTTGACTACGTTCACGCTATGGCGGCGACCATGCCCTCGGGGAACTCCTTGGGTCTGACCGTCAAGGCCAAGACCGAGACCAGCTAAGTTATTAAACTGTCCCATAGCACTCTGAGGTGCATTGAAAGACGCGCCGGCTCCAACGCTCGGTACGGTACTTTGTACACGCCGATGACGATTGGGAGCGAGGCCGGGAGTTTGAAAAGAGAGAACCTGGTTCGAAGCAAGCTGTTGCTGATACAAGGCCTGTTGTTGATGCTGAAGAGCCTCAATTTGGTTTTGAATAGCAATCTAATGACGACACATACTAAGTAACACGATGCAAAAGGGAAAGAGAAAAAAGTACCTGTTCGGCCATTATGCCAGTGATTTCTCCGCTGTCCGACTTTCTATGGCCAGACTCATGGGTAGACATCTCTGACTGATAGCTCTGTTGCTGTTGCGGGAACTGGAAACCAACATCTTCGTTGATGGGAGGGCCCATTCCTCCTACGCGAGGCGGCTTCTTGTTGCTACCTCCAAACATAAAGTTGGGAGCAAGCTGCGGACGACCGGACGGACCAAGCGGGTCGTTCTGCTCCTGCTGTGCCGCCAAAGCGGCAAAACGAGGAGCAGTGAAACTCTGGGACTGGGAGCGCATCTGATGTCCAGGAGAGGTGTAAAAGTTGCCCGGAATTTCACCTTCCTCGAGAACCATGCCAGATGCATCTTCTACATCCTCCATCATCGAACCAAGGTTGGGAGAGAAGGAGCTGAAGTTGCCAGAGAGTCCCGGAGGACCCATCGACTGGACTTTACGATGCTTCGGATCAAGGTTGTTTGTGATACCAGCATACGTATTTCCAGGCTGGAATACGGGCGCGTTGATTGGAAGATTGGAAGTAGGCATGCTCATAGAGCCAGAGTTATTAGCAGGCGGTTGGGGTGACGTGGTTTTGAGATCGGCAATTACCCGCTGAAGTGAAGAGAGTGCGTCACTGGACTCGTTGTTCTGTGGAGGCGCAGGAGACGATTTCGCATCCCTTCGGCCAGCTTGAGAGGAAGATCCCTTGCGGTGTGTTTGCTGTCG